TTTAGTGCAGAGTAAAATTATAATAAGCAAAAATTATGAATTGATGGTGTATTAATGAATTTAGTGGGTGAAAATATATTACTCTTATTTTTTAACCATATTGAGTCTATTTGCTGGTTTTTCCCAAGTCCGAATGTGTACTTATCCAAGCCCATGCCCAACCAAAAGTCCATACCCAGCCCAAGCTAACTTAAAGTCCATAGTGAAAATTACACAATGTAACACTTTTTTTTAGAGTCCAATTTGTGGTTTAGTTTTACAAATATTATTTATGGCTGATTTTTTGAACTATACTTTTTAGCATCTCAAAAACGTCCTTTCAATTGATTTTGTTGTCTTTTTTTTAGAAACTAATTTCCACATTTTTCTCATAATTTGAATTGCTAAAAAAATGATTCAATTAATTCATCAAGATTTTAAATCACACTTTAACACGTTAATACAATACTCTTTATTTTTTTTTTTAAATAATCTTTTCTAATTTTGCAAATTTAAATAATTATCGCGTAATTCATCTGTTTTTTAATCCTTTTCAATTATATTGGCTCCTACAACATTTTTTTAGAGGTTATTGATATGTCATTATTCTTATGAGCATGTATTATAATGATATAACCTAGTTTGTCATTAAACAAAATATATGAACCTTCATTAATTAAAAGAGCTCACTGGTGTAATTAAATTAACGACATTGTAATTATATCTATGGCTATTTGTTATATCTATAGCTATTTGTATATGTTCCTTTGTTGATTTTGCATATATAGTTTTTAATCAATTTCACAGTGAAATTGATTGTATATTACTGACATGCGCTAAAACAATTCATTGTTAGGTATGTGAGTACTGATACTTGCAGTGTTTTGGTCGTTTTGATAATGACACTGCTTGTATTTTAATTACATGGGCTAGAACAATTGTTTATAAAAAACAAGAGCACAATATTGCTTCTGATCGTATTTATAATAATATTGCTTGTATTTTAATGACATGAGCTAGAAAGATTTTGGTAGATTTAAAATATTAAATATTGATATTATTTTTTTAGACTTAATTAGTTAAAATCTCGTTAATTAAATTTAATCCTGTTTGATGGTTTGAATTTTAAAACTTACAAATACTGTTATATTGTGAAAAGCAATTTAATTAATTTGTGATTCAATGATATCTTAATTTCTTTATTTGGATTTTAATTTTTTTAAAAGGTAGATATCCCACAAAATGTGGAAAAAGGTAGATAAACGTCTAGATTACGTAAAAAACTAAAATATCATTATAAGGTTAATAATGTAATTACATAATAAGTTATTTAGACTTCGTTCACTTCGCGGATTCAAGTTTTCAATTCGAGTTGAGATGTAACATTTTCTGAGAGCTTTTCACTGTAGCAGAAAAGGTTAGACGTGATATTTTCAAAGAGCTTTTTACTATTGAAACTTAAAACTGAAAACTCAAATCGGTGAAATGAACGAGGCCTTAGATGTCATTATACAATTAAACCATTGATGAACTATTCTCATGCCCAAACCACGTTTCAATTCTAGAATTATAATTCGGCCAAGTCCATACGCATACTTATACAAGCCCAAGTTCATATCATGACTTTTTCCTCACCGAAATTCTGTAGCGGGTTTAAAAAAAAAAAAAAATTGCAACTATTATACTATATTCTACGAGATTTGTATTATTTAATGGGTCTGATTCTTATATGATTTGATGCAAATGAAGATGCATTATTACAGAATTCCATTTCCTAACACGAATCCTAATCCTAAGTTAGATAAAATGCAGATAATCCTGTCACCTAATTTCATTTGGTGACATATTTCACCATAACACAATGTCAAGTGTTAGTGCACTATCACGTGTCATGATAAAATAAGTAGTATAAATCTGTATTAAGTAATTAGAAAATGCAAAATTCAGTCACTTACATTATGATACTTCCTATAGTTACAAAATTTTCGTACTATTTCAACTTTCACTTTTAATCTAAATTTTGCTGCGAGCTTAATGGTTAATTAGAAGCCAGTTTAAGAGTGAGGCAAAGCCTAATTTCAAATCTGATCTTCTTTCCTAAGTCATTTTATGGACGTTTAGTTCATGAATTCAGAATTATTATTCAAAATTATTCTTGATTTACGGGTGTTTTTTGTGAAGGAAAATACTATAACGAACCACAAATTATGTTTCAAATTATGACACAAATACATCAATCAAACGCACCGTTTTGTGTAAATAGAAAGAAAAAAAAAACCCCTCTTATTTCTTTTCTCCTGCTTCTCCGAGAAGAAATGGGAAACAAAGTGAAGTTTTCTCATACTTTGTGTAAAGTGAACAAACAGGAGGATTTGTACAGCCCACCATATAAAGTTAATTAAAGTAAAATAAATCAATAACACTGATGACAACTTGCAGTATGGGAAGGAAATTATGACAAAATCTTGCTATAGTTAGGGTATGTTTGGGAGAGTTTATTAAATCTGTGTTTTTTTTTACTTTTTGTCTCCAAAAGTTGTTTTGGGAAGTGTACGTGATTTGTCGAAGCGTTTCAGCTTTTTAGTAGAGTTTTTAGTTAAAACCACAATATAAGTTTTAAAAAATTATTTTTGAGTAGACTTTAAAACTTACACTAAAGTCTTATTATTAGGACATTATAAACTTCATTTCAACATTTTTATTACTTATTAAAAAATTTAAAAATTATTTTGACCCATTAAGTTCATTTATTCCAAACACATACTAAAAAATTATATCTTTTACTTCTATTCTTCTACTCATTAAAAATAAAAGCGAAAGCTACTTAATAAAATAATAATAATAATAAAAGGCTTGGTTGTGACTCATTTTCCTAGCTTCTTTCCTAGGTTAATAACTTATATTTACCTTTATACAAAGTTATGTACTCATATGAAACCCCATATCCGTTATGGTTCAATAATCTCTTAAAAGTTATTATGCCCACTTCTGGTAAGGAAATCTTTGGAGTAATCACTAAGATATTCCCTTCACTTTCTAACTATCCAATCCTCACTTTTTTTTTTTTTTTTTTTTTTTTTTTGTGTGGCTTTGTGAGGAATTCGGTTCCTTTATATATACGAGAGTATATTTATGGAATCATAACAAAAGAGAAACTTAAATATATAATATGGTTATTTTCGTTGTGGGAATTAAAAAGTGGCTTCCTTTTCTTTTCTTTTCTTACAAGAAAATCCTCCATGTGACGCACATTCCAAAATTCATTCCAAGCCAATCTTAAGTCAATATCTAAACAGTATATGTGATACTTTTTATTCATTCATTTATTATTTATTCTTATAATTTATGGGTTTCCATATAGTCTAGCTCCGACATTTGAAGAAGTGGAAAAAAGTCACACTTTACCGTGTCGTTTCCAAATCTAACCGACTTTTGTGAAGTGTAAGCTAAGATGGTTGCCTGGTTGGATCGGGGTCAGAGTTGAAGTTTCTTGCGTCAAAAGATTCAGCCCACGTGCTTTTTGATGCTTACTTGCTGTTTTGGTAATAAGTTATATATATATATATATATGTGTGTGTGTGTGTGTGTGTGTGTGTGTAAAACAGATATTAAAAAATTACTATATTGGCACTGTTTAATTCTAAATCGTTTTTTTTTTTTATCAAATTCAATAGGGTGATGATGAAATTTGACATTTGGAAATGTGATTGTCATTTGTCAATGCAAATCCCTTAACATTGCACTCATGTTGAATGGTGTGTTTGTTCTCATCATCCTAAATATAAATGACGTCATATACGTTCAATATGTTCGTCATAAAAAAAATAATACTAATGAAATTTGATACAATTATGACGCTTTAAAACAGGGTTCTACTGATAGAGTTTGTTGTAGGGTTTTTTTTGGTAGGGAAAAATCTAACGCTCCACATCAGCCACTAGATGATCGTCACGTGACACAATTGGATAATTAATGACCATGCCAGCTGTGCGTAAAGTATCCCGTAATTTTCTGGACGCCGACTATAAACTGAAAATGGAGGCCCTAAGAGAACGACCGTATTGAGGCAGTATGAATTCAATCGCACTATCGTCTGAAGACGGAGACCGCTTAGAAGGACCCAAAGGTGCCGAACCCAAGCACGTCCTGAAGGACGTGATATCTGACCTGACACTTGACAAGCATTTAATGCATACAGAGTTAATGGCAAAGTCGGTGAGAAAAATTAGGTTGGGTTGACTGAAATCTCGGTGATCAGATATCACTATTCTGAGATTTGGTAAAGGTGTCTCGAAATTTGATTAGAAAATTGACAAGGGTGATATGATGTATAAATAGGAGGAGAATGGCCAAGAAGGAGGGTTTTGAATTCTCTCTCTTGCGTTGTAATATCTTTCTCAAGAACATAGTGAAACTCTCTCTTAGTGGATGTAGCTGCAGAATTCGGGGTGAACTACTATAAAATTCCAGGGTTTTGAATTCTCTCTCTTGATTAATCACGTTTTAATCTGCTTAATTCGCACACAAACCACCACAAATCTATTATTATTAATCTGTTGATGAATTTTCACCGTCAACAGAGTTTATTTCGTAACTTACCGAATTCTCCTAATTTCTTTCACTCGGAAGAACCAAAATTGGTTACGAAGGCCAGCCTGTTATTATATCATCTTGGTACTTCTGTTTTGACTCTAGTGACCATCACGTTCAAATACCATGACTTTTAGCTTACGACAATTTACATAGTTCAAAGGACAGAAGAGTAGTACAGACCACTTAACAAGCTAAACCATATTTCTGTTTATGATAAGGGAATTTTTACGGTCTGGACTGTACTTTATCATATTATGCGCTGTAAAATTTGTACGTGAACATTTGCATATTAGACGGTAAAAAAAAAAAAAAATCTAACGGCTAAAACAACAGTTCTTATCGATAGTGAAAAAAAAACAATTCTTACCGCAAAAATTCCATACGATTATGCTACATATATAGATTATTTACCGGAAATTCTTGGTGCATACACATGTTATGAAATCAAATTTTGTAAAACAATTTCAAGGAACAAACTTGCTCTAGGATGCAGACCAGCATCCTTGAGAGTCTGCCCCATTTGGTCAACTCCATATACTCTTCTTGGGAAGCTTGATACAAGTCTGTAGTTCCCAATACCAGGAAGTGCTAGTGAATCAATGAATCTGTAAATTGCCTGGATTTTTTCTGTGCTTGAAAAGCTCTGCTCTCTTCTTTCCCCATTTGGAAACCTTATTAGTATCTGACAAAAGAAAACAACAATTATTACTGGTTTATACAATCAGTTAACTCATAAGGAATATCTTGGATGCTTTTTTTTTTTTTTTTTTTTTAAATTACCTGGGTGGCCTGGGAATCCTTCACTTTGTTTGCAGTTTCTTTGTGCGGAGTTTCTCTTATAGTGGAAGACTTTATCACTCGACCACTGGGATTATTTCTGAACTTCTCATAATTTGCTTTAATTGGAGCTTCTGCTGGTTTCTGAACACTCTCTTTTGAAGATAATTTCTCGAGCCTTTCCTTTTCCTTCATACATCAAGGTCATTTTTTTTACCAAACCGTAAGGAGATGTGATGGAAAAGGTAACGGATATAAAAAAAAAAAAAGGTAATAAATTATAGGAATATTGTTTCTATTTATAACAGTATTTACTTGTCTATTAGAACGTGGAATTGAAAACAATCCAATTCATTTTCTAGTGTTTACTAGCATTAAAAACAAAAATCTTATCAATGAAATGTGTTTATATTAAAGTAGATAATCATTAGTTTGATAAGGGTATATAAGTAAGTTTATATTCATTCCCATTACTCCGAAACAATACCAAGGAGGCTCTAAGATTGACATTCTACTAGACTTCTCATTCATTTGAAATAAATAATGCTCTAATTAGAATATTGAACTATTGCCAACATTTTCAGCCTCGGACCCTAATATATTTGTGTCTCATATGTTACATATGTAGTGCACAAACCTTGTCAATCTGTAGAGCTGCAAGATATGCCGCATCTTGCTCCTCTCTTAGCCGACGATCTGCTCGTATCTTTTCTGCCTCCTTCGCTCTTGAACTACCGAACGCCGCCCCTTGCTCCTCCAATGTTCTCTGCAGAATCTCCACCAGCTCAGCCGGGGAAATTGGCCCTTCGATCTAACATGGACAAAGAGCAAATTTTTAAGTCCCGGAAAATAAAACCATTTTTTGTCACTTACTATCAACGTAACTTTTTTCGAGAATTGACAATCTTAACAAAATATCAAAGTGAATAGTCGTGATCAGTCTGAACCCCTATAATTGAACGCATTATATTTCTCACCCATTAAGATAATTCGAACCCCTTTTATTTTCTTTTAAAAATAATCACAATCATAACTATCCTTGTTATTGCCATTCCTAGACTGTATATTTGGCACATGCCAGGTCCGTACCACAGAGCCACGGAACATATGGTCAACACTAACACGGTATAAAAAAAGATGTTATCCCACACAGAACCATGGACAGAGAATATTATCATGGCTTGGATACAAGCAGATTTTATGCAATTTTTGTGCAGAACAATCACTAGTACTTCCTCTAGTCAGTACATGTTCACCAAAAAACAAAAAGAGGATTCTTCAGTAGGGCCTGAAAAAATATTCTATCACTAGAACATAATTTTTAACCGTAAAATTTTTTATCAAGTTCTGTTAAACTCATTATGTTTTTTTTATTATGACATGATTATGATGTGATCTGACGGTTAAAAACTTACGTCCTGACACAAAATTCTTCAAAAATGTGACAAAAGCTTAAGATCCAAGAAAAGAAAAATAACCAACCCCATAGTAATAATTCTAATTTCCAACTAACCTGTTGAAGTAGTGCCATGTTATCACCAATAGAAGGAGCTATTACAGCACAGAAAGGGAAGCTAGCAGGCCTGAATATTGCAGCCATTTGCTGACCTTCCCCTCCACTGGCAAGAGCTCCCCAGCAAACAAAGTTTGCATCAAGATATTGCACTGCCAGTTCTGAACAAAGTGTTTCCCTACAGAAGGAAGGAGTAAAGGGGTGCTCTGGTGAGTGAAGATACATGAATAAAAACTTGTTCTCATCTTGTGCTATCTTAAGGGCCTCCATGAAATGGCAGGCATAGAAGAATGGATGAGTTGAACCGAATTGCCGCTCGAAGTTTTCGAGGAAGTCCCACTCTTGTGGAAGTGGGAGTTGAAAGCTTGGTGATAGAGTTGGAGTAGCCCTTCTTCCTCCTATTCCCATGAGGTCTATGCCATGTCCCATGGCTCTTGAAAACCCGCCAAAAATGCTCCGGGGAAGGCTTACCATACGTCGAACAATCCCGTTACACGACGGATATTGTCCGGCTCTAGTAGCATTGCTTTTCCTCATTGGGGAAGCCATTGGTTCTCTATTCACAATAGTCCTTGAAAACAGTACGAGGGTAGTTTTTGCTCAGTGTAATTTTGCAAGCGTTGGATGAATATATGGCTGGAAAATTATTCAAAGTAACAATCAACTTCATAGTTACTTTAACTTTGTTAAAGTTGATCGGCTAAAGAATCACAGAGAAATGTGGAAGTTTGTGAAGATTCCTCTTCCTTTTTTAATATATTTTTTTTTCAGATTCTGGAGAGGAGAATTAAAAGTTGATTCTTTGCTTATGAACTCATTCACCGTTAATTATGGAAGATGTACATCAAATGGTTGACCATATACAGTTATGAAATTACAACATAGATATATACGGATTAAAGAGTGGAGAAAAGAATCCAATTCTAATCCTTTCCACATTCTTTTTGTCATTCTATAACTCCAGAACTTGTCTTTGCATATATGTTAATGTCAATTGCTCAATTCAATAGTTTTAGATTCTTTTTTTTTTTTTTGTTACAATTACAAAGAGCTCTAATTGAGTATAAGTAATGTTATTTTACCCAAGAAAAGGAAAAAAGTGAGTGAATTAAGGTGTATTTGAGTATGGTTTGAGTTGAGACTCTAATTTGAGTTTGTATTTGGATGTGTACATTTTGATTTATGGTTTGAATTGAGAATCTATTTTAGTTTGTGTCTGGGTGAGTCAAAATTTAAATTTGTATTTGGATAGTATTTTAATAAAAACTCAATGGTGATGGAACATTTTAATATGATATATGAGTGAGGTTTTAATCGTCTTCTCGTTGTGAATGCATAGCAAAAAAATCATCTCAATCGGAATTAAAACGAAAAAGTTATGACATTTTTAAGAATAAAAAAAAATATTATTCATTAACTTGAGTTTGAGTTTAAAAACTTGAGTTGAATGTGGAACTTGAACTCAGATTTTAACCCAAAACTCAAGTTCAAACTCAAATTTGATAAAAGAACACAAACTTGAATAAAATTGTAATTTGACTTTAAATTTTTTTAAAATTTAGGTGCAAATAAACAAGCCCGTAAAGCCGTTGTTTGAAAAGTCAGTACACAAGAATTTGTGTATAATTAGATTTGATTTCAAGAAGCATTTTTCTAGAGCTGCAAGTGAGAGTGTGATGAATAATCCTTTGTTTTTGTTTTCTCTAGGAAGAAAAAGTATTACAGAGGTAGAGGTGATACATCTTAGATAATTTTACAGACACAAATTACTCTCCTATGACATGTCAACCTCTCGTGAATTAGGTTCTCATATTAAAATCTTGTTGCGGGGAACGAGCAAGTCTAGTTGTCCTGCTGAGGAACAAGTCTTATGATCCCGCCAAATGACATGAAGTGAGAGTGATGAATACTTCTTTGTTTTTGTTTTTGCTAGGAAGAAAAAAATATTAGAGACAGAGGGTGATGCATCTAGATAACTTTGAATTTAGATAAGGTCTCGTTCATTTCACCGATTCGAGTTTTGTTACAATAAAAAGTTTTCAGAAACAGTCACGTCTAATTTTTTTTACTACAGTTAAAAAACTCTCATATAAAATCACATCTCAACTCAAATTAAAAATTTGAATAAGCGAATCGATCCATCGTGAACAGGATTTTCATATACCTTTCAACCACTGTGGGATGGACTAGAACTTAAAATTTTATCGCGGGAAACGAGCAAGTCTAATGATCCCACCAACTGACCAGTGGTGGTATGAATAGTTTTGAAGTTCTTGAATGATATGATTACCATTTGGGGGGTTTGCAAATGTCAAATAGTGAAAGCTGAGGCAAAGCAAAGCAAAGCAAAAGCTGCTGAATTATGTTGAAACAAATTAGCAGATTTCATTTTCCACATAACTTTAAACCTTGCCTTTAGTCATTGTTATGAGGTGCTATTTTGCAAAGCAATTAATTGCGGTCATAAACAGATAAGTTCATAAAAGCTTTTAAGAGGCTCATCGTTATTCTCTAACCATAATTATTGCTTCTTTAATTTGTCAAATTTCTAGCGGAAAAATTGATGGATAAGAAGCTTAAGCACTCGATTACGCGGCTTTAAACTTTTATCATTATCCATTTTTTGGGTAGATGTTGCCAAGAACCTTTTTGACCCTCCTAACAAACTTTTGTTAAGAGAAAAGGAAACAAAGAAAAAGAAAGGAAAGAAAACATTAATTATAATAAACTCTATATATAAACTTTATGGTAATGGTTTGATAATTGATACCCCATGTCCATGTGACAACTTAAAAAAATAAGATCTTATTCTTGCTTGAAGAACTCATAGTGGAGAGCGGTGACTAGTCCTTTTAGAAAAAAAAAAAAAAAAGAAAAAAAAAATCCACAGTATTTTCAACTTTTCTTTCATAAAGATTGTGAAAAATAGTAATATATATCTTAAAAGGCAAGAATCACATGGCCTCCGCACAAATAATATACACAAATATATGAATAAAAGGATGGCAATTCAAAATAGGTATAAAATGTTAGAATTAAAATTTTAAAACACACAAAAGCAATGAACATATCGATCACAAAGGCATATGGAGAGAATAATTAGCCCATTTGGTTCATGGATTATAACCATGAGATTAAAACCATTTTCGATTTACGTGTATTTTTTGTGAGAGAAAATACTGTAGCGAATCATGAACTATGATTCGAATCAGAAAACGAATCCTCTAACTAAATTGGCTCACATGACCGTTAAGTGGACCCTACTAAATGACTCTATCCAAGCAATTACTAACTGGAGGTGAACTTATAGGCAGTTAGATTCTCCGATGCACCATACATCCTGCCAACATAGTACTCACCATGTGTTTCTAGAATTATTATATATATGTGAGTACATATGTGTGTGTATATAATATATATATATATATATATATATTCAGATGACCTATCATAATCCTTAAACTTTTAAGTAGGCACTAAGGTGTATAGTGGCCTAAGCTCAATGTGCATTATTTTCTTTAGGAGACAATATTGCGCCCACGCTTGGAAAGCAAGCATTGGCCTCATTTCTGGTGCATCTCGCGTGACAGGTACCATAATTCTCTTGTCGTTTGCATTGTTTTGGTGTGTGTCCACAAAGTTGGTCATGAGTTCAAAAACATTTAGGTGAACATTGTGACCACATCTATTATAGGGCCAGGCAAAAGTTAAAAACCCTTTAGCCAAAACTGGAATTCCATTAATTCTTGTTGGAAATAAATTCATTCAGAGAAAAGCAAGCATAATTTATTTCTTATTCTCAGTGCACTCTTCTTCCTGTTGATGCCCACCTACCCATCTGCGGTGACCACTCTTTTTATGGATTTGGTGATGAATTGGGTACTAAAAAAGAGTGTTCAATCTTGTTGCCAAGCATAAATTTTTGACTAACGGTTTGGGGTTGAATATGTGACATAATAAAAACGCAGGATCTTCTGACTTGCGTGTTTCTCGTACGTATCTCAAATCTTTCGGAGAGTTCATGATTCATTTCATCCGTTTAGAGAGGAAAATTATATACCAATAAAAAGCTCATTTTTTGATCGGCTTCATTTTTAAGAGAAACAATACCAAAATAAATCATGTAGAATTGATATGGTTGGTTTGAGCTTATGAGTGAATTATGTAAAATTAACTATTTGGTTTTTTTTTTTTTTTTTAGGGAAAGTCTACTCTTTCCTACCTATCTGTATGAAATTTAGACCGATGAAAAATAAATGGTCCAGATTGTCTTCCCATACAAACAAAAATAGAAACAATTGTCCTTGATCACACCATTTCTTTTAATTCTGATAATTACTAAAACATTCCTATACTTTATCGAAATACCAGATTCACCCAAATAAAAAGATCTCCTTTGCAATTCACAATCGTAAAGGTTGCATAAAAGCCACCTTCTTCATCACGTTGTAACCACCATCACAAGGGATCATGACCTACATTGCGAGGTCATAGCCATTATCATTTTGACCATTGACACGATGAGCCAATTGAGCAAGTTGCCCAATTCATCAAGACTTACGTTCCGGTAGGATATTTTTTCATACCCTATCAAGGAAAAAGATTATAACATCAAAAGATGATGACAACAATCAAATCTCATTTTACATAAAAACTATACTAGAAGGACTATTGAGAAAGTTTAGATAGTTAGAGGTCACATTTTGAACATCCAGGGTCAAATAAGAAAAACAAAAACAAAAACAAAGACGGTGTTTGAAGTTATTTTTATTTTTATTTTTTACGTTTTTCGAGAAAAAAAATAAAAACGAAAGAGAAACGACGTTTGACACAATTAAAGACAAAAAAGGAAAATGAAAATGATTTTTTAATTTAGTGTAAAATGAGAGAGAAATGAAAAACGACTTTGAGTCATTTTTTATTTTTTATTTCCGTTTTTTCCTCTCTCGAGTAGAGAAAGAGAGAGAGACATTAATTAAATTTTTTTATACTGAAAATAATCTCTTAATAAAACTACCAAACACATTTTCAAAAATGATTTCTGTCTGAGATTGAAAACGTTTTCATTTCTATTTTCATACAAAAAAACAAAATATTTTGGAACGAGTTTCAAACGCGCTCAAAATTTGAAAACACATACGATATTAAATACAAATAAAAAACAAAATCAGAAAAATAAGAACCGTTCCTTTTTGTCCAAGATGCCAATAATCAATCTTACCCTAACTATATCATAACTTTAATCCCTCCACAATGTAAAATTCCTCAATAGTTTTTGAACATTATGGGTTGGGAATCTGCCGCAGGTACCAAGACATCAATGCTTATTCACTCAAGTTACGGAGAACAATCAGTTTGAGAACTTGATTGCAATAGCAGCAAAAAATCACCACACACCTAAAAATTAATTTCCTTGTCTGCCCCCACTTCTTTTTCATTTATTTATTTATTTATTCTGATATCTACTTTAATTTGGGTAATAAATTCTTTGCAAGCTGGCTCCCTTATCAAAAAGCATGGCACGGCAGTGGCAGCCTTTTACCAAAATCTAAGTAACCTAGATTTGTACAAATTCAAATTATATGCCATCGCAATATGACATGAATCTTTGCTTTATACAAAATTGGTAAATGCATGATAAGAATGAAATAACACATACTTTAAGAAGATCAATAGGTTAATTATAATCAATTCTACACCTATGTTAAAATGCACTAATTAAAGAGAGAGGAGAAAAAAAAAAGTTGTATAGTTTTCAATGTATACTTTTTAGATTGTGCGGTTTGGATGGTATAAAGGAATCTATTCTCTCAGACCAACTTTTTACAAGGGTGGACATGAATCCACTTAGAACTTTAAAAAAAAAACAAAAAACAAAAAAAAATCTTGAATGTGATTTTTTTTTTTTTGATTGAGTGGCATCCCTGTGGACCAATATTCTCCCTAAATGGGGTTTTTTTTTTTTTTTTTTTTTTTTTTCCTTTCAATTTGCTGCAGAGAGGTGGTTGGGAGTGTTAGTGGGGCTTTGTGAAAAGAAGAGAGGAAAAATTAAAGAATAGTGAGTCATGACTTATGAGTAAAGAAGGGTTGGTGTCTTTGGAAATGGCAAGCACCATTGCCCAAAGCCCTAAAAAGAGAACAAAGAGCCTAGGGCCCTTACTCTTGTGCTGTCAAAACTTATATATGCCTTGAGTACTAGTGTTCAAGACTCCAAGGGAATTAGAGGATTTCTACTAGGTTGGTATCTTCTTTTAACTTTCAAATATTTAATGCACATATTCTCTCTCTTTCTCTCTCTCTCTCTCTCTCTCTCACTCACTCACTCAAAAAACATTTTTATTTCTATATACTTTAATACCCTATGGAAAATGAATGGCCAAGAACCAACCATTGTCCTTTTGTAGGTATTGGTGTTAACTTTCTCAAATCCAACTGCTGCAGAAATTTCATAGCCCAATAAATCAAAGGGTAGTAGTAATATAAGCCCTTGGTCATTTCATTGGCTTTTCAGAATCTTATAACCAAGTGCATAAAATGTTACAACAATTTAACCTCATGTACATCATTTTTCTTTTTCCTTGTTTTATTTTTTTTTTGAAAGATCATGTATACCCTATTATAGCTTCATATCACAAGTAACAATTATTGTACTCTTTTGGAAATTAGGCTAAAAGAATTAAAGTTTGTTCTTCACTCTTTTCTTTCTTTTTTTTTTTTTTTGATTTTTTGAACATGCTAGTGTTTTAGGCTAAGAGGGTTATCTTAGAAGGAATTTGTCGGCAAATGGAGCTTTTGACTTGCTTGACCATTGACATCAAATACAGATTACCCTGACGTCAAACACATCAAATGGACCCCATTAAAATGAATACAATGAGTACACCCCCACATTTTCTTGAGCAATGTACTAAATGGGGTGTCCAATATTTTGACCACTCTTTTGGGTGAAACTTGAAAGCCAACTTTTAACCCTTGCTCACGTTCCATAGGCAATATCCAAAATCCTTCGTTTTAGGGTTCAATATAAAGGAGAAAGTGAAAGAGATAGAAGAAAAAAAGTGGGGGAAAAAAAAGTTGTGGTTGTCTGATAAACATAGGCACAAAGCAACAGAATAACATGGGCAAATACCATTGGACCATATTCTAGAGTTATTTCTTATTTAAATTACTTAAAAATCAATATATATATATATATATATGTGTGTGTGTGTGTGTGTATTTGTTTCATTTTTCATTCTTGTTTTCTTTTAACCTTGCCCTTGGTTATGGCAAGAGGTGGGGATTTAACATTGACCATCTTCTAGACAAACAAGGGGGCACATGTTGAACAAGTTTTATCTTATAATATTTTTGGTCTACCAAAGGATCATTGCAAAAATAAAAAATAAATAAAAAAAATAAAAGCAACCAATAAGATTATGGGAAAAATAGTCAAAAGGAATTTCCCGCATTGGAAAATAAGCATTATGGCAATTATTCATGGCCTACCCCAAATGCCAAGTTGTGTTCTTCGTACACTCCACTTCCTAGTGGTAAGTCATAACAACATCATGATCATAATATCAATTTTCAAACAGAACAAAAAAAATTATAAATTTGTGCTTTCGATAATTACGAGTGTTGTTATTGTACCATTACAGCTGTTTGTTATTTGTAAGTCCCAAATAATATGCATGCAAAATTAGAGTGATAGAAAATTGAAAATGGTGCAATATCACAATGCAAACCATATCGTTATTTTTAGGATTTCTCTGATAAATGTTCTTTCTATTCTTTGTTAAAAGGTGAATAAGACTTGGAAATACAGTGATATGTTTAGGTGGTACGTCCATATTTAAAGGGGCAATACGAAATCTCAAAAGGGTAATGCTTGGAAAGAAAAATAATTTATGATGCTGAAAATTATAATATAATAAATGGACATGGCCTAGTTTGTTGCTTATTGCACCATAAGCTTTCGGAATAATTATATTATTACAGAGAAAGAAAAGCCCTAAGACCGTTTAGTTTAATGTCACAAAAGGTTTAGATGGAATGGGGTTTTGGGGAGATTATAGATTCGATCTCGTTCTTGTATTAAAAAAAATAATGGAAAAAACCTAGATTTCATTCACTTCGTGGATTTGAGTTTTCAATTCGAGTTGAGATGTGACATTTTCTGAGAGCTTTTTACTGTAACAGAAAAAATTAGTCTGAGAGTTTTTTACTGTAGAAATTTAGAACTGAAAACTCGAATCAATGAAATAAACGAAGCCTATATATAATGAAAGATTCTATAAGAAAATTCATGAATGCATAAGAGTCAAAATTGTATAAAATGCGTAAAATCGAAATTATTACTTTGTCCCGGCATTTTTTATCCTAGTAAGTTGTTTTTATTTTCATTAGGTGCCGCGGAATTGATTTTTTTAATGATTTTCTGAGACAAAATATTTAAAAAAATCTTGATGGGAGAAAATAACAGAATATATGAATCTGGCACATACTTGATTTTATTTATTTATCTCTCTTTCCACATAAATTGACGGCTTTGCTTAATTAATTACCCAAAGGAAAGAAAAGTAATTAACAAACTTCAAAAGAATGGGAAAAACGACAAGAAACTTAAGGAATGGAATCCTCCCTCTTGAAAATCAGAGCAAAGAATGAAAGGAGAATCAGTACCGTTGGCTTTTGTTTGTACTACACTGCTGCTCTTAAAACCTGAACACCTACCAGTCCCACCTTTCTCTCTCCTCTCTCTCTCTCTCTAAAAATATTAATTTTTTTCAAAAAAAAAAAGGAGAAAAAAAAACTCTTTTGACCACAATGGCACATGAGTAAAAGCTTGGGGAAGTACAGGCCCACCACCTATGAAGGTTCATTTTAAATATGCTTCTGCCTGAATTTTCTTGCTGTCAGAAAACAAAAAAACCAACAAGAAGTTAGAATCTCTCACTCAAATTTAGAGAGAGAGAGAGACCTAGTTTTTTGTTTATATGTTGGAAATGGTGAGGAAATGAGAAGGAAAAACTTGGGTTTTATTTCAGTTTCATCCTAGGAATGGTTGGCTTGGTTTCTTCTGTTTTGTAAGGACATATGAAGAACAAGGATTCTCCTAATTCTCTTCTCTGCAGAACACAACAAAGGAATGGGCATTGTTCTTCTTCTTGTTGTTTTTGTTGTGCAATTCAGCACCACATAACAAGACGACAACAACAAAGACAACCAAAACATTATTGTTATCATTATTTTTCCTTCTCTATACTAGCTCCTCCTTTTTTTACTACTAACTCCCACCAATCTTTCTCACTCGTTCCCATGCTTCTTGTTGCTTTCCTCCTTGTTTCTTTCCAACTCTCTCCCACCCCTGCATTTTCTCTCCCCATTCGACCCGACTCCGACCGCCATTCTCCGGCCAATCAGACCCTTAAGCCTCCCCAAGAATTGCACAAGCTAACAAGTGCTAGAGCTTATTTAAGGAAGATCAACAAGCCTTCTATCAAGACAATTCAGGCATTTTCTTTTTCCACCATCTTTCTTCAGACACAAACCTCCCCTGTATTTTATCGAAATGTCACGTTCCACCCTATTTCCCGGGAGATTTTTAACACGATTTGCGAGAAAGTATCCGAAAATATTAGGGTGGAACGCAACATTTCGATAAGATACGTAGGAAGTTTTTGTTATTTATTTTTATTATTGAGGTTTTTACTCATCTGGGTGTTGGTTATTTTGACTGAATATAGAGCCCAGATGGTGATATCATAGACTGTGTGCTTACTCATCTTCAGCCAGCTTTTGACCATCCTGAGCTTAAAGGGAAGAAGCCATTGGTAATCAATCTCATGCACAACATAATAAAATGTGCCCAATATATATATATATATATAAATATATATTTGATTATATCATATGGTTTTTGGATTTCATTTTTGGTGCTAAAGATGATTGGTTGTTGCAGGATCCACCAGAGAGGCCTAAAAGCAGCAATGAGACTAAAGATAGAGTTGCAGAGACTTTTCAGCTGTGGACTGAGTCTGGTGAGTCATGCCCAGATGGAACTATTCCAATCAGAAGAACCACAGAGAATGACATTTTGAGAGCAAGTTCCATTGGAAGATTTGCTAGAAAACCAAGGAGACATGTTAGGAGAGACTCCACAGGCTCTGGTCATGAGGTTTGTATGTATATAAACACACACACACACACACACACACATATATATATATATATGTATGTATGTATCTATATAATGTTTTTTTTTCTTCAAGAAAATTTTAGAAATATCTCTCTTCCCATATCAGCTCAGGAAAAAAAAAAAAAAAAGTTAACTGTAGTGCTTCTTGGTTTTACTATTTGGCTAATCATTTGCAAGGAAAAACATCATTTCAGTTTTCCTCTTTTTTTCTTTCTTATAACCCCTTCACAGAAAAGACTAACTTCAAAAAGGCTATAACTAATATCTGTTTTTCCCTTCATGGCAATCAAACAGTCTGGCCTTAAAATGAAAAGACATCAATTTTTAAAGTTGATTTATCACCTGGATTTTTCAAACAAGTAACTATTCTGGCCTTAAAATTTATTCAAATACATATATTTGAACATGTTTAATGCTTATACATTTCTTTTTAAAAAATTTATTAATTATTAATTTATTTTTTTATGTTTTACAGCATGCAGTTGTATTTGTTAATGGAGATCAATATTATGGAGCAAAGGCCAGCATCAATGTTTGGACACCACGTGTGACTGACCAATATGAATTCAGCTTGTCACAAATATGGGTTATATCTGGCTCATTTGGCAATGATCTGAACACCATTGAAGCTGGTTGGCAGGCATGTTTTAACTTTTCTTTAAAATAAATACACACTTTTCTCAATTCATGTAACAAAATCAATGGCATTCCTATGAAAAGAAAAAGGAGAGAGAAATAAAAAAAGGACTAAAAAAGCAGTTTTTGGTAATGTGGAACAGCTGTTATAGAGCTCTTCTTCTTCTTCTTATTTTTTTTTAATTTTTTTTTTATTTTAATTATGTGATTGCCAATGAGCTTTTGTATTTATGCCTTTTTTAGGTTAGTCCAGAGTTATATGGAGACAACTATCCTAGATTCTTTACTTATTGGACAGTAAGTTCATCCACAGTTAGCTCTTTTTTCTTTTAAAAAAATAATAATAACCTTTTCTTTTATACTTTGTAAATATTAATGAGGTGTTTTGATGTTGATTTTTGCAGACAGATGCATATCAAGCTACTGGATGCTACAACTTGCTTTGCTCTGGCTTTGTTCAAACTAATAATAAGATTGCCATTGGAGCAGCAATCTCTCCAAGGTCCTCTTACAATGGCAGACAATTTGATATTGGCTTAATGGTTTGGAAGGTGAGCATATATATATATATATACGCAATCACTAAATAGATAAATGAGATGAAAAACTATGTGTTATTTATTTTTCTAGTGGTTAGGGTAACCTTGGACAAAAGTAATGATTAATATCACTACCCAATTTACCTATTATATTGTGCCATGCCTACAATATAGATGACAACTTTAGCACTTAAATTGGCCAAAACTACCTTACTTGGAAACTTTATTATTCTCTTAATATGAAGGACTCGATTTCATTCTTTTAATGGCTACACTCCTATTGGCTGTGGGATATTGCCTGGATAAAAACACAGTTTTCCTCCAAACTTTTTCTCTTGAATTCGCTTTTTGCCTTTTCTCTATAATTTAGCTAATAAGACAAATAAGAGCAACCCATGAGAGGAAAATCATAATGTTTGCCATTATGCCTTTAACCTGAGACAAATTATTGACATAAATCCATTTTTGAGGTAAAACTTTTTTTAACACTATAATTATGTTTCTTTATCAGGATCCTAAGCATGGGCATTGGTGGTTGGAATTTGGGAATGGTCTACTAGTTGGATACTGGCCAGCATTCTTGTTCAGCCACTTGAGGAGTCATGCAAGCATGATACAATTTGGAGGAGAAATTGTAAATAGTAGATCATCTGGTTACCACACATCTACACAAATGGGAAGTGGCCATTTTGCTGAGGAAGGATTTGGGAAAGCATCTTATTTCAGAAACTTGCAAGTAGTGGATTGGGACAATAATTTGCTTCCGCTAACAAATCTCCACCTCTTGGCTGATCATCCTAATTGTTATGATATAAAACAAGGAAGAAATGGTGTATGGGGGACTTACTTTTACTATGGAGGTCCTGGGAGGAATGTGAGGTGTCCATGAATAAAATTTTGAAAAAAAAGATGGCATAGGATAGAAAACAAGGGTCCTTTATTATTATTATTTTTGTTAACAAAAGATTTCTGGGTTTTAGTTTTTCTTTGTAGGTGTTAACATGGTTTGGGTCATTTTGATATTTTTCCCATCATAATGTATTCCTTTTTTGTTTTTATCATTGATTATCCCACTTCTTGGGCTTTGTAAATTTGGGGAACATACAAAGTGTTAATAGTACTGGTTTGTCTAGTATTGAGGTCTTTTCTTTTTTTGCTTTCCAATTCTTTCCAGGAAAAAGGAAAATACATTACCCTGGAAAAGAAACAAATAAATACACACACACACACACACACATATGAACTGTAAGGAACTCACTACAGACAGAAAAGAAGGTGGGGCTTAGAAGAATGCAGCCATGAACTTGCCCACTAAACCATAGTACCATACATTGGTTATTGCAATTTTTAAAATTCAGTATTTTAGTAGCTTATCTTATGGTTTGAAACAAAGTAGAATGCAAAATAGTATTAGTGTATTACTTTATTGGGAAATCAGCATACTTGAAGGCCTTTCATGTGGGTAGCAACAAAGAAGCAAATTGTTTTTAAATACAAGCAGGCCTAACCAATGAAACTTCCAAACAATACTATACTATTTATTATCCTTACTACTACCCAACTTTCTATAACTAGAATTATGTGCAACAAGAATCTCAGTTACTATAAGAAATATTTGTTAAATGACAGTCAAAAGCAAAGCTAAGTTCAATTAATAACTTAGCAGCATTACCCACCTAACTTTGTGCTCCTAATATTTTATGACTAATTTATGTTTTTTTTTATTTTTATTTTACTAATGAATTACATGTGTATTTAGTAAGAAAGAGATGGGGTTCTTGGCTCTTAAGCCAAGTGTATGGTTCTTTAATAAGTCAATCTTGCAACTGAAACCTACTCTTATACTTAGTTCACCAACAATGAGACAAGGGGAAAAAAAATTTTACTATTTGAGTATGTTATTTGAAAATTGAGTATTTTCAGGGTAATTATTCCAAGGGGAAAAAAAATATGTATATTATTGCAGAACAGGCCACGCAGTGACGTGCAATAAAAAAGATGCCAGGCATATGGAGCTAAGAAGCCAGCATTTTTGTGGGACTAATCAAAAAAAGCAAAAGCAACATAAAGATCCTTTTTCTTTTTAGTTTTCTGGCATGAAATTGGGAAAAGGGTTGTTTTTTCAAAAGCTGGTTATTTTTGTAGTTATGTCTGCCTTGATTCAAGGTTTGGACAAAAAAAATTTGGTCCTCCCACATGTAAAGAAACCTAACATAATGCCCCATATGGATTTTGAGTCATGTCAAGACCACAATATAACAGAAACACGTATAAAAGCCCGAACTAGAATTGCTTTCTGTTTTCCGTCACTTGAAAGTCGCCTAAACATGTTGCGAGATTCCAAAATAAACTAAACCAGCAAAATCTGGCAAAATGGGTTAACCACCAAAACAAATTAACATCAAGTCAAAAAAAGCTTTTATTTTATGCTAATTTTAATGTCAACCACCACCTGGTGATGCGTGTACCAAATGTGATAATTAAGAGAACTTGGTCCCAAATCTTAGCTTTAAATAACTGCCTGCGTGTATCAATAAAAGAGAACTATCACATGACAAGTAAGAGAACTTGGTCCCAATTCTTTGCTTTAAAGAACTGCCACAAATACGGTATAAACAACGCTTTTTCTTTCACAAGCCCAACAAAAGTTGCTTCCTTCATATTAGTAGATTGAGAACAGTAGTTTCCAGGGCTTTCTTGGAGTGCACTATCAATTATCAGGAATAACTAGTTTTGTAATAATGTTGTCTATAAATATAACAAGATCTTCAGGAGTAGAGACCTGAGAAGCTAGTGTTCTTATGATATCCAAGTCCCTGATATCACACGTCAGAGATTTTTCCAAGTGATAATCACATTTCTGCTGATTGTATATTGTACCGTACGTTTTCTCCCAAGCCATGCAAAGTTCGAAAAATTCAGGGTCATCTAGAGTTTCTCTGAAATCCAAATGCAACACATGATTTCTTGTCAGCCCTTCCATAGATTTCATCTTGAGCGCAACCTTTTGAATCGACACGAGGTTCAATGTCAAATGACGAATTTTAGAGGGTAAACTCCATACTAGATTTTCGGCGTCTCTAAGTTGATGGCAAACTTGGACCAAGTTGGCAAAACATATGCGTGCCAAGAAGATAAAGAAATCATAGAAGTTCATTCCTGTTGAAAAAAATCAGATATCCAACGAGTATTAATTAATTGGGCCAAATCATTTGATGCACTAACAGTGCGAATTGATAGCAGTCAACGAAAACTTCGACCTTAAGATTATTTTAGCTCAACCTTTGTTCTTCCTCCCACATGGGTTTCCAAATAAGGATTTAGCCAGGTCAAGCCCCAACAGTAAGAACATACCCCAAATTTATTTGTTTTATAGCGGCCTCCTTGACAACTAGTAAGAAGCTTCTAAAAACACGTAATTTACCTGTGTTGGCTGCGAGGTTACGCTGGCAGAGACCTTCAAAGTCATCGCATATGTCCTTGATGTCTTCTATGTATTCCTTGGCCTCATTGTAGTCCTTTAAGAGCAGGTCCCACTGTAAGTAGTGAGAATAATGAGAAATAAATGTTAGTGCCAGTAAAATATTGGCACAATAAATTTTATACAGAATGCAAACTTTTACATAAACAAGGTTTGGAACATAGTGTTGCTATGTTGTACTTACCACCCAGCCAAGGTTATAGGCATTGAACCAGTTGTGATTTATAGAAATAGTATCTTCCTGAAAGCATTCAAAATGCATGTTTATCAGATATTATAATGTCATATACCCAGCTTCAAAACTTCCAAATGTAGCTTATGTGGAGGTCACGAAAATAAGCTACATGTGGAAGTTCAAAAATTAGTGCATTCAGTACCGAAGAGAGAGAGAGAGAGAGAGAGAGAGAGAGAGAGACCAGATTATGAACTTGATGATACCACCCGCTAGGTACAAATATGATTTCATTTTGTTCTTGAATGCACTCCAACCAGAGAGCCTGCAGATTCGAAGAATATACAAGTACATAAACAAAAGCAAAAGAATAGTCGAGAGAAATCAGAAAAATAAAACTTCAAGAAGCTTCAGAATGTTGATTTACCTCCTTAAAACCAGGAAATTTTGTTTCACTAACGTCATCAAAGATATTATACACAGAGCTTTTCATGTTTCTGATGACGACATGAAGGAAGTTAAAATGAGGAAAAACAGAGAGAATATAACCATAGACCGAGTGTAATACCATGAAGGGAATAACTTAAAAAGCGTACAACCTACTATTTCTTCTACTCTCAAAACAGAACTAAAATTGGTCCCGGCACAATATAGAATAATTGCAATATGATTAAAAGTGGCCAAGACAATTACAACTGAATCGTTCTTTAAAGAGATTAAATCTGTTTTCGGGTTATAATCATAGTTGATCATGCAAGGTCATGAACCAATTCAAATGAATTTGTCAATGCAAATTCGAAAAACTATGGAAAGATCTATCACTTTTTAGTTTGCATCTCTCCTACACGTCTAATCCCTTTAAAGGCGATGCTGTTGTTTAAAGTCCATTTTGCAATCAGTATTATTGTAAGTAACAAAGCAGTATGTACAAAGTTAAAAATCAAAATTATGAACACAGATATTTCTAATTGCTTTTATTGAAAGAAATTGTGTTCGTGCCTGTCAAATACAAGGCGACTTTGGGACGGAGAGAGAAAAAACCAATGTTTCTTCCCACACACATTTGCCGACCAACTATAGGACCTGAACACATCTGCATGGAGAGGCGTCCAAGATCCTGCGTAAAGATAAAAAATTTCAGGTACTTCCTAGTGGATTACACATTAAAACGAAAACTGGGTGGAGAAGTCTCAGCTGAAGGAATATGTAACCAAGAAAATATCAATTACTATCAGAAAAGAGAAGTAGAGATCATAATTTGTTCTCAAACCTTTCTCTCCGATGTAGACAAAACGATAGTCGGAGCAGCTTACTTCATTATCCTCTGAGTAAATGTCAGGATCCTTATGGATACGGTAATTGTCGAGATACAAGTTGAGCCAATCATCACAAAAGAACTGTGGAGTTGTGTATGCTATATATTCCGGGTACTCCTGGGATCAGATTGCTAAAAACTATAAGAGAACCAGTGAGGCTGAAACTGACAGTCTACAAGCGGATGAAAAAAGGGATCATGGAACATATAGTGACACAGATGCCAAACAATGGCATGAAATAAGAAAGATAAAAGATTTAACAAATTTCCTGAATACAAACTAACTAGAGAATAATCAACCTTCCCAGAGTCCCCAACAAAAAGCACTTGTGCAACACTGCCTTAATTATTATTTTTTTTTCCTTTTTAACATTACTTTTTATCAGTAATCCCCACACAGATTATGGTTATACAGGTTATGTTTTTATTTTTTCTTGTAAAAACATGTCTGTAGACCAAAGTACACTGGAGCTGAGGCAAAACTAAAATTTCAATCATAGTATTATACAAGGCCAAATACTATTAGTCCTAATGAATTCATTAGGTGCTAGAAGATCATATACATAATTCTATTTTAAAAATAAAAATAAAATAAAATAAACCAACATTTACCTTCACAAAATGCCAGTCCTTCAAATATAGAAAGGACTTATCTTTTGAAACCCCAGCCGTGGCATTACCATCCTCATGTATAGAGTCTTGAAGCCATTGGTCAACTAACTCTGAAACAGACATTTCTACTCTCTTCTGATCCGTGAATTCTATGGTACCACAATCAGCAACCTAATCAGTGATAAAACGTTACGGATAAATTGAGATTATCATGGAAGCTAATAAAGCGTAATACAGTCAGATCATATGGGCACAGGTTTAAACTCCAAGCATTTATTGTAAACTTGTAATATGTAAATTTAAGGATTAATCACGCAAATGATCTTTGAGTTTTACCCTCAATCCCACCTTAGTCCCTCATTTTTAAAATACTTTTAGTCCCTGATCTATTATTTTGTTTCGGTTTCGGTCCCTCCATTAGCTATACTTATTTTTCTAGTGAAGCCATAGCAAAGACTTAAAGGAGCCCAAATAGGCGTAAAACAATTTGAAGTCTTTGGTAAAGTGTGTGTCTGCACGTAAAACCGATCAAAGACACTTTTTTTTCCTTCTTTTGGGCGTTTTTCAAAAAAATTAAATGTATTCTAGAAAATGAGTATTTCCATATTGTCTGCACTATGGAATTTTCCAGTAATCAGCTCAAGCTCAAAGCTTTAGAATTATATTTACACTTGTGCTCCATGTTGTTGACAAATAGGAGTGTTAAACTTGAAAACTTCAAAAAAAAAAAACAAAGTACTAAATAGACCAATCATTCTCAAAATAATCTTTCACAAAGTCAGAAGGCGTACAAGAAATGCTACAAAAAAAAAAAAAAAGCAGCACCAACTAGCACCAAAACGACAACAAAATTCGGCCTTGAACGACATCATGAGCTCTGTTGAGTGAAAAAAGCAAATAGAAAGAAAAAAATAATACCTGAACTTTGGAATTACCAAAGTGGGTGGCGAAAAATTGGAAATTGGGCTTGCCATTCTCGGTGACCCAGTCTCTGGAAGCTCTCCAATCTTCCATGAGACCTGTAAGAACCACCGGCTGGTTTTTGTCCACGTTTTTCTCCACAAACTCTCTGTAACTGATTTCTTTCCCGTTCACCTTCTCTATTTTCCCAACAATTTTGATACCCATTATATCTCTTTCTCCGTTCTTTTGGAATTCGATGGATAGAGAGAGAGCTGTTTTTTCTCGCTTCCACTTCGCCGATAAGGATTTCACCGGGGACAGTCGTATTGAAAGTCGCCGTCTTGTGCAGCGGTTTCAATCGAGGAGAGGGTTTCCGATGTAATTTACGTCATTCTAAAATAATATTTTTAACTAAAAATATGTCTCATAAAGTAAATTCATGAGAGATAAAAGATTGTAATAAAAAATGTTGAATTTAAATTTCTGGGAGGAAAAAACCTTATAGCAAAATTTGACTTTTGATTCAAATTAATAAAATAAACAAGCTCAAAATAGTATTTTTGATTTTTTTTCTTAAAAAAAAAACGCTATTAGCACTTTACTATTAAAGTTTTAATTTTAATAGTTCACCGTTAAACTTATTAAACTGTTCGAATGCGGTCTAAATAATAATGTTGTTTAAATTGGTGACAAAAAAGAATTTCATTGTTAAAATTAAAATTTTAGGAGATAATTTATTAAAGATTAACAAGTTCTGAGAAAAATGTAAAAAATGTGTGATGTACAAGCTATATTGCTACTCTTTAATAGTTCAGGAATTGATTTAATAAATTTAGGAATTGATTGTCAAAATATAAAGAGATTGATTAAAGGGATTGTTTACTGAAATACAAAAAGTTCAAGGCCAAAGTGGTAAAAAAAAAAAAATACTGAACATATTCTCTTATTTAAGATGAATTTTATATTAACCCTTGCTTATGTCATTTTCGACATTTCATGTCGTTTATTACAGATAGTGTCGTTTCTGAAATTGTATGACCCTTTTTTTTAACGTTATTTTTTGAGTTTCTTTTATTTCCGTCGTCGGTAGATGTGATGGTCGTTCTCGGCATGGTAACATCTTTGAAGCTTGTTGTGGTTTTGAACTTTTCTGGTTTCCAAAAAAAAAGAGAAAAGTGGTGTTGTTTTGAGATCCATTAATTTTAGACTCCTTCGCTTCGTGGATTCGAGCGAGTTTTTAATTTGAGTTGAGATATGACATTTTTTGAGAATTTTTAACTATAGCAGAAAAAGTTATATGTGATATTTTCTGAGAGTTTTTTACTGTAAAAATCTAAAACTGAAAACTCAAATCGGTGAAATGAACAAGACTTAATATTTTTTTGATATTTGACTGAATATTGTCAGGGATACTACGAACCCGTTTAGTTCGTTAATTCGAGTTAAAATATTGCTTTATGTAAAAGTGGTGTTGTTTTGAGGATCTATTAATTTTAGATTGTTATTTAATATTTTTTTTGACACTTGATAGAATAATGTCAGGGACACTACAAGCCCGTTTAGTTAATTGATTCAAGTTAAGATATAATTTTATGTAAAAGTGGTGTTGTTTTGAGGATCCATTAATTTTATATTGTTATTTAATATTTTTTTGACACTTGACTGAATAATGTTAGGGACACTATGAGCCTGTTTAGTTCGTTGATTTGAGTTAAAATATGATTTTATGTAAAAGTGGTGTTGTTTTGAGGATCCATTAATTTTAGATTGTTATTTAATATTTTTTTGACACTTGACTGAATAATGTCAGGGACATTACGAGCTCGTTTAGTTCGTTGATTCGAGTTAATATATGACTTTATGTGAGAGTTTTTCACTGTAATAAAAAAATTAGATGTGACTACTTTTAAAAATTTTTTACTGTAATAAAACTTAAATTTTAAACTCAAATTAATAAAATAAACGGAGTCTCACGAACAAGAAGTGCTTCCACTAATTAGAAAACGTGGATATCAGTATCACATCAGGGGCAACCTCCTGTAAGCGGAAAAGACCAGAACTCTACTTAAGAGCCCAATTACAAAGACAATTAGTATTAGCATTGTTCTTTCTAGAAAAAATAATTGTCTTTGTAAATGGATTCCTAGAAAGTTATAATTAGTGGAAGCACGAATTATAAAGAATTAAAGGAAGTAAGAAAAAGAATTAAAGAATTAAAACTCGAGCGAAAAGTTAAAATGGAATCAACAATAGTGGAACACCACCATTCCGGACAGGGGATATAACCATTAAGAACTTCCACCGCTATTCTACGATCACTCTCGATCAACACCACACTTGAAGATGCCATGGCCGCATGAGAAACCACCAGCTTGATAGCCAAGAATTCAGTCACTAGCACTGACCAAAGAAGAAAAAACTAAAATAGGGAGACAATTAAAAAGAATTATTTTAATTAAAAGAGAGTGAAGAAAATAAAGTATTTTAAAGAAGTATATTGTAAAAAATATATATCGAATGTTTAGAGGAAAAAAAAAAAAGTCCATAAGTAAAAGAAAAAGAAGAAAAAATAAAAAGAGGGAAAAAGGGAAAGTTAAAAAAAAAAAAAAGAATTTAAAGTTATATAGAAGTTTTTGATAAAAAAAAAAAAGGTGTAGGGATTCAAAAGAAATTATTATAATTAAAAGGAAGTAAGAAAAAAGAAAATATTTCAAAAAAAAAATGTATTGTAAAATTAAAAAAAATGTCAAAAAATAAAAAAGACAATAAGCAAAAGAAAAAAAGAAAATTTTAAAATTTTAAAAAAGAAAAAGAGAAGGAAAAAAAAAGAAGGAAGAGGTCAACAGGTGGCCTTAGGAGTCAAGTCCACTTGGCTCCTTTTATATATGTTAGATATTAAATTTGATATATAGATTAGTAGTTAAAAGATTAAACTAAAAAAGAGCAGTGGAAAAAAAAAAGAGCAAAGCACACGTAAAAGATTTAAAGTTTTAAAAAAATTCATAAAATAAAAAATAAAAGAAAATAATATTTATAAAAAAAATAAAGTAAAAAGTAAAAAAAAAAAAAGGAGGGGCTATCACGTGACACTTTAGAAAGTGCAGTGTGGGAGGACTATAAAAAATATGTGTAAAGATAACTTTTAATATAATAAAAATTATACGAAAAACAATGAAGTATAGAAACATTTGAAAAAAATATTTTAACTATTGACAAAAAAAATTAAATAGAAATAAATGTAAAAAAAAATTACTTTAATAGGTGTAAAGTGAGAAAAATTATTTTAGAAAAACTCACGTAAACAATCAAAATGTGAAAAAAATTTCACAAAACAAAAAAAAAATAAAAAAAACATTTAAAATATAAAAAAAAAGAAAAGAAAAAAATGAGAAATTTGAGAGGCCGCCACGTATGAAAGAATTTTTTAGTTTTTTTATGTATTGTTAGATTAGATATATAATGACATTTAAAGGATGTTGATGTTATATCTATCTTGTGATGTTAAACACTGTCGTTTAAAATAATGTCGTTTAATTCCATTCTCGGTGCTTTTTTTCTTCAACGTGATAGCTTATGCATACTGTTTTTGTTTTCAAATTTCAACGATTACGGTGTGGCGTCTTATGAGCTTCTTATCGTTATATTTTTCCCCATACCCTGTTTTCTTTTTTTGCCTTGTTAGTATCTTGTCGTTTTTCTCATTTTATGTAGTGAATATTTTGACCTCTTTCATTTTACTATTTAAATCACAATTTAAATATTTTGTTATAATATTTTTTCTCATAAAAATTTAAATTTAACTGTTTCTAACACAATGTTTTCTCTTACCTAAGGTCACTTTTTAACTTGAACTAGCAAAAAAGAATGCAACCTTGAGATGTTCTCGTTATAGGATGATCACGCCTTTAGAGGTTCTTGTCGTTTCCAACTTTTCTCTAGATTAGTTATTGTCGTTTTGACTTATTTTTACATATATAAACTGTCGTTTTATTGCCCGTGCCACTTTTGTAGTTTTCTCTAACAATAAATAAATAAAAAGAACTTTAATGTGTCCGATATTCTTGTTGTTTTCTCGAGTTTTTTTTGTTTAAGTTGATGTTCTTTTCTTTTTTTTCTTTTTCTTTTTTCATACATTGAGATTGTTGTTATAGCTGAGTTCTTTTCGTTCTTTTTCTTTTTTTTTTTTTGTCTAAGGTTTTCGTTATTAAGTAAATGACATTTATTTAGTTGATGTCTTGTTTTGAGGTGGTTATAGTCTTTGTTGTTTTAAAGGTCAAAGAATAGTACCTAGGCTTATTTTGTCTCAAGATCATGTCATTTCTAAGGGCGTTGTTTTCAAGATATATGGTTTGACAATTGGGGCACGGATTTGAGCTCAAGTATTAGGTTCGGGCCATCGATGTCACATGAGATGGGAGAACTTGTCATCGTTACATTACATGAGATGGGAGGGCTTGTTACCATCGTTGTCTTATCACGGAAAATGGATGAGCTTGTTCACCGTTACGGGGTGAGGAAAACTCAGTCCGCCGTAGCGGGAAAGGGCTGAGCCCATCACCATCCCTAGGGTTAAGGGTGTCGCTTGCTTAAGGTCGACATGTCGATGAACTAATCATCCCACCCCTTTTTAATGAGGTCAATATTTGTCACAAAATATGAATTTTTGTGAGAAAAAATATAAAATTTGAAGTGCGACTTATTGTTAAAAAAATAAGGCCGGAATTAAGATTTATCCTAACCTTAGTATAAATATATGTTGTACTAATCTTCATTAATATTTTGTGTCCTTTTTTCAAAATTATTAGAGCAAAAGTCAATCCTATCATAATCGCTTATCCATTTTCATAATTCATTCAAACTTAAAAGTAAGTGAATCATATAAAAAAAAATTATAGTGTTTTTTTTTTATAAAAATATTAATATTTTATATTTATCAGTCGTTGAATTTATATTAAAATTAATTAAAAATTAAATTAAATTAAAAAATAATATAAATATAATAATTAATAAATAAAGAATATAAAAAAAAGGAACATAAGATAAATTTTCTAAAAAAAATATAAATTTCCCGTGTCTTCATCCAAAAATAAAAAACCAAAATAAAAAGAAAACTCCCTCCTCCAAAACAAAACAAACCGCTAGCGTGGTTGCATCCGATTGGTTGAATCACCAACTGGAGAGATGTCTTTGGTTTCTCACCCTTGTAAAAACAACAAGCTTGTCATCCAAACAAAATCTCAAAATTTATAATCCGATTATAAACAATAAAATCCTAATCACATTTTCACTTTCGATTTCCCACTTTCTATAAATACCGGAAACACTTTCATTATTTTCTTTCCTATCTCCACGTTTTCTGCGTCACCAACTTGTTCACTTTCAGGAAAAAAAAAAAAAAAAATCCTCTGCAAACCCTAAACTGACGAAGAAACCAAAGCTCGGAGAAGACGATCATGGTGGATCCGAGCTCACCCGCTTCCGATCGGGACCAGCCCTCTTCTTCTGACCCGTATGTGTTTTTCAATTCCTTTTTCCATTTAGTTTCCCATATTTTCTTCTTATTTTTTCCCAGGAAAATTGTATCTTTACGGGCAAAGAACTAGTTTTCTATAAAGTGGACGGTTAATTTGGATTATTGGCGTCTCTGTTTGATCGGAATTCCTGTTGAAGTTTAGAACTTTATTTATCCATCACTTTTTTTATTTTTTAAATTTGGTCTTTCTAGTGAAAATTTTGGGGTTGATAATTGTTTGAGTTTATGTGTGTGAAGTACGTGTTACAAAGGAATTCCGTTAATTTCACGTTCTAATATGATGAAAATTTTCATAGAATGTGATATTGCCGGTTATAACTTATGAATTTTTATAGTTTTCTGTTTTGAAATTCGTTTGTGTTAATGGTGGACTTGAAAAGGGTGCTTATTATTACTGTTAAATTGAACATATTCCAATGGAGGTGATAGATTATTGAGTGTTACGTGCGTATTTAATTGTTTGAATAATCCTATAAGTATTTTCGTGAGGATGACAATAATTCGTATTATATGTCTCCAACAGGAAAAGTGGTAAGAAGGATTATTCGACGGCGATCTTGGAACGCAAAAAGTCGCCTAATCGTCTAGTTGTTGACGAAGCTGTCAATGACGATAACTCTGTGGTTTCCCTGCACCCTAATACGATGGAAAAGCTTCAGTTTTTCCGCGGAGACACAGTACTAATTAAGGTGATATTGTCCTTCCGTATGCTTATGGTTATGGCCCTTATATATATTGAGTTGATTTGCGTTCTGAGTTTTGAAGTCGTTTATTTGCTGGTTTGGTCATGCAGGGAAAGAAGCGAAAAGATACTGTTTGCATTGTTCTTGCTGATGAACAATGCGAAGAACCGAAAATCAGAATGAACAAAGTTGTGCGTGCTAATCTTAGAGTACGTCTTGGAGATGTTGTGTCTGTTCATCAGTGCCCTGATGTGAAGTATGGAAAGCAGGTTCACATCCTTCCTATTGATGATACCATTGAGGGTGTCACTGGAAACTTGTTTGATGCATATTTGAAGCGTGAGTTTTTTGTTTAATTTGTTTTCTTATTGACTTAGCACTGCCTTGTGCGGTTTGCCTGATTATTCTTTGTGTTTCGCAGCATATTTCTTGGAATCTTACCGGCCTGTGAGGAAGGGTGATCTCTTTCTGGTAAGAGGTGGAATGAGAAGCGTCGAGTTCAAAGTTATAGAGACAGACCCCGGTGAATACTGTGTTGTTGCCCCCGATACCGAGCTCTTCTGCGAGGGGGAACCAATCAAACGCGAGGATGAGGAGAGATTAAATGAGGTGGGCTATGATGATGTTGGTGGTGTGAGGAAGCAAATGGCGCAGATCCGTGAGCTTGTGGAACTTCCTCTTAGACACCCACAACTCTTCAAGGCTATTGGCGTGAAACCCCCGAAAGGGATTTTGCTTTATGGGCCACCTGGGTCCGGAAAGACTTTGATTGCAAGAGCTGTGGCGAATGAGACTGGTGCCTTCTTCTTCTTGATTAATGGACCTGAAATTATGTCAAAGCTGGCCGGTGAGAGCGAAAGCAACTTGAGGAAAGCATTTGAGGAAGCTGAAAAGAACGCTCCATCAATCATCTTTATTGATGAGTTAGATTCCATTGCTCCAAAGAGGGAAAAGACACATGGTGAAGTGGAGAGGCGTATTGTATCCCAACTCCTGACTTTAATGGACGGCCTTAAGTCCCGTTCACATGTCATTGTCATGGGAGCTACCAATAGGCCCAATAGCATTGACCCTGCTCTAAGGCGATTCGGAAGATTTGATCGAGAGATTGACATTGGTGTACCAGATGAAGTTGGAAGACTTGAAGTCCTTAGAATCCATACAAAGAACATGAAACTATCAGACGACGTGAGATTCTTTGTGACGCCTTTTTAATATGCTACTTTAGTAATTATTGCTAGTCTAATATTTATTGACTACTTGTTTCAGGTTGATCTTGAAAGAGTCGCGAGAGATACCCACGGTTATGTTGGTGCAGATCTTGCCGCACTTTGCACAGAGGCTGCTTTACAGTGTATCCGGGAGAAAATGGATGTCATTGACTTGGAGGATGATACAATTGATGCCGAGGTGTTGAATTCCATGGCTGTCACAAATGAGCACTTCCAAACTGCACTGGGCTCGTCTAATCCATCAGCCTTGCGTGAAACTGTGAGTTTTCTTAAAGTATACTGCTATGAGAGTTGGTGGAAAAAAAAAGTTTGTGAATGTTTCTGTGTTATGTTAATTATAAATGCTTTGCGAGGATTTTTAAGTTATTTTGTTCTCATTTAAATAAAATAAAATTACTATTGAATTATCATTGAGTTCAAAAAGTTGAACCTTTTTGTGTATAGGTTGTCGAGGTGCCTAATGTGTCATGGGAAGATATTGGTGGATTGGAAAATGTCAAAAGAGAGCTTCAGGAGGTTATTGCTTTGTCTCACGTTTTTATTTTCCTTAATTTCTTTAACCCTTGCTATATATCATCCATGTGGACTTAATCTGATTAAGCTTTTGGTTGCTGGCAGACTGTCCAATACCCTGTGGAGCATCCCGAGAAGTTTGAGAAATTCGGTATGTCACCTTCTAAAGGTGTTCTGTTTTATGGGCCTCCTGGATGTGGTAAAACCCTACTTGCAAAGGCAATTGCCAATGAATGCCAGGCCAACTTCATTAGTGTAAAGGGACCTGAATTGCTAACCATGTGGTTTGGAGAAAGTGAAGCCAATGTCCGTGAGATTTTTGACAAGGCTCGGCAGTCAGCTCCGTGTGTACTTTTCTTTGATGAACTCGACTCCATTGCAACTCAGGTACAACTTTCAAATTCTCTGACTTCTATTGTGGCGTTCATTATTATGGATAATCCATTGATAGAATATATGATTATTAAGGTTAATTACTAGTTTTGACTTGTTAATCTTCTCCTCCAGCGTGGAAGTTCCGTGGGAGATGCCGGTGGTGCAGCAGATAGAGTCTTGAACCAACTTCTAACTGAGATGGATGGAATGACAGCAAAGAAAACAGTTTTCATCATCGGGGCAACAAACAGGCCGGACATTATCGACCCAGCATTGCTCAGGCCCGGACGTCTAGACCAACTGATCTACATCCCGCTGCCGGATGAGGCTTCTCGTCTTCAGATTTTTAAAGCATGCTTGAGGAAGTCACCGATCTCCAAGGACGTTGACCTTGCAGCTCTTGCACGGTACACCCACGGTTTCAGTGGTGCAGATATCACTGAAATATGCCAGCGTGCCTGCAAGTACGCTATTAGAGAAAACATTGAGAAGGTATGAGCTATGTGCTTATGATTCTCCGTATTTTTTTACTACATTGGTTGCATAAGCCTGTCCATATTATTGAATTTTCTTCATCTTATTGAAAATTTTTATAAAAATTGTACTTTTCTATAATATATAGCTTGTAGTCTGGAAACTCTAATGTACATTGCCGTATTATCATTAGAACAAAATAAAATTATCTCATTATCTGTCTGTGTGATCTCTGGGGGCTATCAGGATATCGAGAAGGAAAGAAAGAAAAGTGAGAACCCAGAAGCCATGGAAGAGGATGACATCGATGAGGTACCGGAGATTAAGCCAGCTCACTTTGAGGAGTCTATGAAATTTGCCCGCCGAAGTGTCAGTGATGCCGACATTAGGAAGTACCAGTCATTTGCTCAGACTTTACAGCAATCTCGTGGAATCGGATCTGAGTTCCGGTTTCCTGATCGACCTGGGAATACAGTGGGAGGAGTTTCGGACCCGTTCTCTTCTGCCGCGGGTGCTGCAGACGATGATGACTTGTACGGCTGAAATTCAAGTCTTCGGCTGAAATTCAGGTCTTAGGCACCGCACAAAATGTTATGAATCACTAATAGCCTGCACTTCCAACGCTTGTCTTGAAACTTTTTTAGTTTCCTATCTATGTTTCTGGAAATCTCTGATGTTTCAAGATAACGAATATAAGATATGAGTTTAACCTCTTTTTTTTTTTTTTTTTTTGGTGAATGAAATATAAATCATGAGTATAGCTTAATGCTTTTTTTTTTTTCTTTTTTTTTTAGCGGTATTGCTTATGTATAATTAATGCAAGTAGAGCTCCATTATAATAATTATTATTATTTGCTTAGTGGTGATTTTATCCTAAAAGGTGAAAAGGAAAACTCAAACCATTAAAGACTAGAAATTAAATTATTTTTTATATTGAAATTTAATGAGAAAATAAATGGTACTTAGATTTTGGTATGAATATGCCACCACTATTAAGGAATCCAAATATTTGCCGACACTAATGAAGAGGTGCAGAACTTTTTTAGTCTTTTTCCCTAAGGAAAGCAGTGACAAGCTAATGTCTTGCTTTGTGGTTGAAATTTGCGTAAAAGTCATCATCGAAAAACGCAAATCCAACCTTAAGGATCATTTTCTTTTCTAATTTATGTTTTGATGGGATGAAGGGCTTTACTCCAACTAATAAAAAAGGATAAAGAATATATGTCCTATAGCTCCTAGACAGATCAATATAATTATAAGAGGGTTTTGTTTTTTGTTTTTTTGTTTTTTTTTTGTTTTTTGTTTTTGTTTTTGTTTTTTTTTTTTTTGTTTTTAGCTTTGAGAATGTGATTTGCGCATCAAAAATTGAACTCCTTAATAAGATATCTTAACTCATAAGAAAAATGAAAACAATACATGTCATTATAAAACTTTGAAAACAAACAGACATACAATCAACCCAATCGAACCTAAAAATTTTACACCGGATAAAATTAGGAAATCTTTAGTGAAACTAATAATGTCAAATTGAAGTCAGTATGCCAGTGTGATTTTCATCATAAGCTTTCCATTTATGCGCATGGAAAGAAAATTCTCAGCATTCTTGACATAATTAAAATTTCGATTATGCTTGCATAATCCTATTTGACATTATGAGAAATAATGCATTGCATTTTATAGATAATTTATATATCAATTGTATTAGAGTTTGAGGAGAGAAGTGAGAGAGAAGAATTGCGCTTTATAAGATATTGATTTTTCATCTTAAAAGGTTAATCTATTTAAGTGGGATGACTCAATATTCTTATATGACTGTGATTATATTTGTATTTAAACGATGTAGGACTTGCATTTTACCCTTAACAAATTGTTCTCTAAATATCATAAGCACAAATTGTTTTGATTCCTGTATACATAAGTATTTTCCTTGCCGCCTCTCGCGAGGTATTGTTCGTGAGAAAAGAGATCGATGAAAGAGTACAACAACAAGGCGGGAGATGGGGGATGAGATCGTCGCTAGTCGCCATGGTTATTTCTATCTTGGGCGAGATTGCCGTGGTGAATGCTTCTTCCCCATTGTAGTTGAATCATGAATCCATGATCCTCCTTTGGCTTCATTTAACCTCTCTTGCATGCAGTCTCTCAAGACTTTCTTCACGATAGACCAATTTTTCATAAAATCCTAAATCCTTTATTATTCCTTGAAATGTCTCATTGTAAAGACGGATTCCTGGATTTCATTTTAGTAGAAACACTAAGGACGCGTTTGGAACGCGTTTCAAAATGATTTTATTTTTTGTATGAAAATGAAATGAAAACGTTTTCAATCTCAGACAGAAATCATTTTTGAAAATGTGTTTGATAGTTTTATTAAGAGATTGTTTTCAGTGTAAAAAAACTCATTAATGTCTCTCTTTCTTTCTCTCTACTCGAGAGAGGAGAAAACGAAAATAAAAAATGAAAAACGATTAAAAGTCATTTTTCATTTATATTTTTTATCTTTATTGCGCCAAACGCAGTTTTTGAAACGTTTTCATTTTTTCTTTCTTGAAAAACGTGAAAAATAAAAAAAGGGATCAATTCTAAACACGGCCTAAGGCCTCGTTCATTTCACCAATTCGAGTTTTCAGTTTTAAATTTCTACAGTTAAAAGCTTTCAGAAAATGTTAAATTTAATTTTTTCTGCTACAGTTAAAAGCTCTAAAAAAATATTACATCTCAACTCAAATTGAAAACTCGAATCCGCGAAGTAAATGAGGCCAAAATATAAGTAGTGTTCTTTTTTTTTTTCAAAAAAAGAAAAAAGAAAAAGCTTGAAAAGGAGGGTAATGAATGAAAGAGAAATCTGTTGGCGGGCGGTTGAGACTTTACGGGTATGGTATGAAATTTTACTTTAGATGAAGAACGCCCTACTAATCCAAGTCAAGGAGAGGAAAGGACTCAAGATCCCGAGACAACAACGGGTGAAGGTACTACATATAAGCCTTCAATCCCAACATTGGGCTTGATATGCTTTCTCTTCCATTTCTTAAAATAGATATTCTATTTTTTTTTAGGCCATGAAGAACGAGAGAGGAGAACAAGAGGTCAAAGTGACGAGACACCGGGATCGCGTCGCCTTACGACACCAATGACAGTCATTTCTGATGAGGAGGATTAAAAAAATGGTATTGAAATTTACCAGCCTTCAAGAAGTAGGGGGGGAAAGAAAAAGGTGAAGGAGAGGAAGCGAAAGCTGGTTTTTTATCCCTTGCTTGACCCGCTTTGGAACTATTTAAAAACGACCTTTCCTGGGGCTCTGAAAAATTCCAAGGAATCCGAAGAAAAAACAGCACACTATGGCCATGACCAGCTAAAGATCACTGCCATCTCACGAATTGGATTCGAACCAATCAAGCTATTTGCCCTTTAGTAGATCGTGAGATTGATCAGAGAGTACGGAAGGTGAAAACAAGTATAAGAAAAATAGAAATAAGAGCCCCATATTCTATACCCAATAAACCTAATATAACAAATAGATATACCACCAAAAATATGAGAATGTATTAATTGAGGAAGAGATACAGATGGGCTAGTTTCGAGCTATAATATACGATTATTCAAAAGGATGTGTGAAGTTAATAAACAAAATTTGGCAATTATTATAATCGGCCAGGAATTTTTTTTTTTTTTTCAAATCAAAGTTGCATATA